TTATAAGCTGCAGCTGCAGTTTTTTTCAAGTCAAAGTAATGAAGCAGCACATGTCGAAAAAACAACTTATCACGTTCCATATTTAATCAAAAGAAAAAATAGCACTGCTCGCTCAAATGAATCTCTTTGCACTGAATTTTATTGACAAATGTCTAATCTCTAAAATGCAGCCAGTTTCAGATGTCAAAATAAATTACACCTACAACTAACGTCATCTAACTGTGAGCCGCAGGAACTAAGTTTACCACCTAATAAAAGAACGGAGAAGACCACCCTCGTCAGACTTAACACCTCGGTCTCTCGCCGCGACATACGCAACCGACGCGCGGTTCACATTACTAATAAAACTCGGGAGTGGCAATTAAACATGTTCAAGTGTAGTTACAAATAAATCTTTTATATTTAAAAGTACTACAAAAAGTAGTTACAACTACTGACTACATTTTTACCCACGGCCACACACCCTGCCGCGCCCGCATCACCGATTCCGAACTCTTTTCGCGTCCCGGCAGCACGGGGCACGACAATTTGGTGGCAGCGGTGGGATCGGTGTATGCCGGGTCCAGGAGCTACCTGTGAACAGAAAGTGAAATACGGGTAAGAAAAGGGTGGTGTAAGTGACAAGGGAAAAAAAAAACTTAAACGAGAAATCATCGGAGCTAACTAGTGGACGTCGGAGATACGTCTACTGAAAAAACGCTACCGGTTATCTCAAAAAAGAGCGAGAATCTACAAGACCGAGAAGAAACAACTACTCCATAAATACATTAGACGACAAGTCTACAAAAAAAAAAATAAAATAAAATTTTGAGAGAGCTCAAAAAATTAATTGAGAGTCCTCCTAGACAACACTGGGACCACAAGGTGAAACGGAGCTAGCTGAGGACAGCGGTAATCGGTGAAAGACGACGCTGCAGCGTAATCAAGCGACCGTCGGAGCTACGGCCTACGATACTTGTTGTCAGCGACACCGGAGCCTACGGCGAATGCACCAGCGGCGACCGCGACCTGCCCAACGCCACTGACCCAGTAACGAGCGACGACTTGCCGACTCAACCAAAACACGATGAGCTACAGAAGAGCCGTGACAACGTTATTGTAAGTCGAGAAACTATTGTAACCTAAGCGATTAGGTTTATGCGAGCGAACACGTAAAGGCGTGAATGTCGAGCGAAAGCGGTACTCCTAACCGACCTATATCAAATCAATCGTGGCTACATAGCGCACCAGCGCGATTAACTATCGAACACCTATCGAATCCCAACGAGACAGTTGCCGAAGCTATAGATAACGCGCGTGAAACATTAGAGCTTGTGCGACGTTTTAGACTACTCGGGCGAAACCGAACGCGAATCTCCAGAGCACGTAACCGCCGAACGTGAATTCCCTTTCGGCGAGATAGACCATAGCATACTACCGGACGTGCAAGTTACAGAAGACACCCGACGTACAAGACGCCGCGCATATTTACCCTCACACAGTACCATTAGCGACGTCTCGCAAAGAGGAGATTTCTCCTTAACTTCTTACGATAGTAGTGTATTCGATCCATTTGACGAAATGGCCACCGGGCAACGCGACGAAAACCTATACGCGGCGGAGAACGGAAGAGATCAGGAAATCTCTCGCCCTCGCAGGCCTCTATTACGAGAGGACCCGTTGAGCGACGTAAACGATTCTCAACCAGGACTTAGTAGAATTCGACGCGACGTTGACCTATATAATAATGTTAACGAGCAGTTATTAGCGCGTATAGAGGAATTGCGAGATACTACATATACTAATGCAGCTCTACTAACCAACTCTTGCATAGACGACCCACCAAACGTAAGGAACACTAACATAGAAACTGACCGATTCCCTCCAGACAGACGAGGACAAGGTCACAATGACCATCTCACAGACGGGTTACCCCCGATTAACGAGGATTGATCCCAGCGCATCAGGGAAGCGCGAGATCAGATCCCCATATTCAATGGTACGCAGGATGATAAACTAATAGAATTTTTAACGGCGTGCAAATACGCGTTCGAACTGATACACCCTTCTGACGAATCCACATTAATTCGAGCAGTAATCTGCACTAAACTAAAGGGCATTGCCCTAACTGAGGTTAAAAACCGAAACATTCTTACTTTTGCTGTCCTAAAGGATGTGTTAGAAAGATGTTTTATGAAAAAGAAACTCGACTACTTCGAGATTTTAATAATTTGTATCAAAAGCCTGGAAAAGATGCACGAACTTACGGAAACCGTGTAGAATGATTAATCACGGATCTATTCGAAGCCGGAACAGAGGGGCATCTCTATTCTCCCACACAGAAACTCGGCATCCATTTCTTTTTGAAGTCGTTAGCCCTTGTCAACTATCAACTAGGACTAAATGACAGGTTACAAACAATAGTCTGGTCCCGCGCACCCGCGACTTTAACCGAGGCAATAGCAGGAGCCATAGAGGAAAAAAGGATCAAAGGAACCCATGAAACTCCTGCGCGGACATATGAAACAAACTAGTATAACCGAAGTCCTTTCGAAAACACTAAACGAGATGTTCCCATAATACTATGCCAAAAATGCGGAAAAATGGGACATCAAGGACGCGAATGCCGTAGCAGTCGATATGGCAACCGGTTCGTTCTACCTAAACCAGCAGTACCCTTTTGCGTGAATGTGACCGACACATGGTGTACACGATGCAAGAAAAACGGACACATTCACGATAGCTGCTGGTACATACACGGGAAGCCGACCGAGACACGGGACACCGCGAGTGACTACCGTAAACCCTCGCGCCCAGTGACTATCACCGCGCTAGATATAAATAAACCATCGACATCTCACAGTAACGGGAGCGTCAGATTCAACAGTGACCAGGAGGAAGGAAATAAAAAGGAGCAAAGTCGCGTGCGCGACTACCGCGTAAACCAAATCCGGCAAAATTTACATAGCCGCACCGGATTTGACCTAGTAAACTTGCCAATAAAGAAAGCTAAACGAAAAGGAATACCATTTCTTGTTGACACGGAATCCGCACTTAGTCTCGTAAAAGTACAAACATTAGACGATGATACCCCTATGACTGCAAAAAAATTGACGCTAACGGGTATCACCGGACATAAAGCTTTCACTATGTTAATTTTTGTAGTTTGTCAGGGTAGGTATATCGAAAAATAACCCGGAGCCGTGTAATTTGGATAAACTGCGAAATATATTTAAGCTTCCATAGTCTATACAGAGATGTTCGGAAACGGACGGTCAGACCAGCTGCGTGATTACGCGCGAAGAGAGCGCGCTCGACTCCCCTCGGCTCGCTTGCCTACATGCTACGTTCGCGCGCCCCCCCTCTGTGATCGCGCGCGAGAATATGAAAAAGACGGAAGACCTCAACACACTATAAGAAAAATAACCGCCACTGTCAGCTTAGAAAAACAGCGTCGGAAATTTGAACTATTTGTCGTACAAGATGATTTTCCAATCAAATACGAGGGGATCTTAGGAATAGATTTCCTTCACGAACACCGCGCTAAATTCGACTATAAAATAAGAACAATGACGGTTTCCGGACAAAGTCTACCGCTGATACCACAGCAAATGTACAACCTCCCCGCGCGCAGTGAAATAAGAATACGCGCCGCGGTGAACATAAATCGAGTGGAAGTAATCCCAGATGAAGAAATTTCGCAGGGAATTTTTATTGGAAATTGTCTAGTAGAACTTGACAATTATACATGTCTTACAACAATAAATAATGCCACCGACAACCCTGTCGGGATAACCACACCTTACGTAAGGTTAGAGAACACTACGAAGGGCGACGATGAAATTGACAAAGCGCCTAAAGAAATCAAGAACATGGAGAAGCAGAAAGCGAAGTCTCAGAAGGATAAGCTTAAAGAGCAGAACAAGTCTCGAGAATCCGTTATCGGGACTCTGGACAAATCTAAGGATGAAACGGACAAGAAACAGACCAATTCAGGCGAAAAATCCAAGGAAGCCGGAAAATCTAAAATAGCGGCAAGAGCAAAAGAAAACACTCTATTTATACAAAACATATTATCGAGCCAGGTTAAAGCGCCAGATCAAAGTACTCTTAAGGATAACATAAAAATTAAAGATGGTAACCATGACACAAAAGAATTGATCTCCAAAGGCGAGAAGAAAAACCGGAAAGGTAGTAAAAAAGGAGCTGAAAGATCAACCTTATATTACCGACGATAGCTACGTTAATCATAACAAATCTGATACTAAGACTAAGCACAAGAACAAAGCAGGCAAGAATATGAAAGAAGGTAACGGAGAAAGCGCAGGGAGTAGAGTTCAGCAACAAACGAATGTTCCGAGCGATGACACAAAAGAGAAAATAAATATCGTCGACGAAAGCAGCTCGATGGAAATTGCAAAATTATCGGA